ATTTAATTTGATTGGTTTGGGCATGAAAAGTTCGCCATCTAAACCGAGCCTGTCTATTATAGGCGACTGGTTTCACGTTGGCCAGGCTGCAGTGGGTGCCAAGGACAACAGCTATCATGAATTGGTGTATAAAGGTCCAAGCTCTTTTGTTGGTGCCGTGAAACTCGTGCACACCAAAGGTTATATGTCCAACCGGAAGGGACTCACAAACTCCTACTGGGGGTTAGTGAATGAATCCCAAGTTCTCGCGACCGTCATCACAGATGTTGAAAATAGGATCATCTATCCTTCCCCCTTCGTAACTCAATTGACCTGGCATGGTTTGTATCGAATGCCCGGATACAACAGTACATCTCCTTACCTGGTCTTTAGTGATTTCTGCGCGCCGCAGTATTTCGAAGGAGGCAGGAAAATCAGAATATGGTACAGCGAAGATCTTTATGATTATACTGATCATAACAACGACGGAACATCCCATATGGAAGTGTATTTTTTTTTGTATGGAAATAGAAAGGCCAAGTTGCAAAACAACTAAAAGAACGCTTTATAACTGAAATGATATTATAATAGTAGTTGCAAAACAACAAAATGAACGCTTTATAATTGAATTTGAACTGATAGCATCTTCATATAAATAGTAAGTGAATACTAATAGACCTTAATTTTCTTGATATCTGGAAAACACTTTGTAATATTCGAAAGAAATACAGTAAAAATCGCTGAAATTTTCATGCAAAAGTCTATAACGTTTTTTGATGTGCCAAACAGGACGGACAGTGATGGAAATTGCATAGAAGGTAAATAGAAGGGACATATTTACGAGCGTTTCTGGGATTCCATACGATTCCTCTCTCTCGTGACAAAATACATTCAGTGGCAGTGCCGAGGCGAGCAGGCCTAGCCGATTGCCCGAGTTTTCAAAGTAGAATGACTAGGACAGGGCCTTTTTTAAGTATTCGTTGGTGGGGGGGATCTACAGAAAGGTACCACGAATTGCATATTATGCTGGCTGAGAATGATGGAATGACAGATGGTTGTTGGTGAAAGGTTTGGTCTGGTGTCGTATGTGATAGTGGGGGGGGATAGGGGCTTTCTCCCGCGTTTTCTGAAACAGATTTTTGGATATACAGCATTATACTGTAGAGACTGAATCTTCAGTTAAGTACTTACATGGTATGTTTATGTAAATACCACAACTCGGGCACTGATACAACTTGTTTAGCTTAGCCTTCCAACAACTCAAATCTATAGGGACTCAGACCCTGTGCTAACCACTGGGAATTTATTTGAAAATAAAAGACATGACATTAACAAAGAGAATTTCCTAGAGAATTTCAGTTATTAGAATATTAAACCTCGCTTCTAAATTTCATTTTTCGTCCAATGTTTTGCTTGTATTTTAAATTTAGAGAGGGAACTGGCTGGGGGGGGGGGGGGGGGGTTGGGGGGGGGGCC